AGTGGACACAGCATCGGTCAGCAGCGCGTTACACGCAACAACAGGCCCAAGTACCAATAGGTCAAAATGGAGTTCCTGTAATAAACAACGTTTAATGCCAGTCTAAAATATAGACCTGACCATTATTACCTGTGGGACAGACATATGATACTCTCGAGGTCTATACTTATTTCATTATTTGACCACCAGAAGCGCGTGCTATCAGCGCGTTCATCGGGTACCTGCCACAGCCGCCAGAGATATTATCAGCATCACAGAGGAAGGAGTTAGATGAAAACACGTCTCTCTCGTGCTGCGTGGATTGTCCACATCAAGTTTGCACCTTGGGAGTGGAAAGGGGCTAATAAACCCGCACACCAAAGCGCCAAACTGCGGGCCTTGAGTCAAGATAGGATTTAAGCTACTAAAGTCAAGTGTGTATACCCGTATATATATAACCAAGGTAAGATTTCAATCAATTAAACAATGAGAAGGTGCGTCACAATGGGCTGTTTGATTTTACGAGAGAGATGGGTGGATAGCTCTGTGCAAAGTTATGTAGTGAATCTTGGATGAATCTTTGATGAATGAATCTTTCACAATAAGAGGGGATTGACATTGCAGGGAAGCCGCTACAGGAATGTATGTATTGTGCAAGCACTTTTATTCTTCTGTGTGTGTGTGTGTGTGTGTGTGTGTGTGTTTTATCTCATATACAGCCTATAAATGGCTTGTTAATTGTAGATTTCTCATTTCACCGTATATCTGATACGCTACTTCGTGTCACAGATCTTGGACAAGGTTAGCTAGTTCAATAAGATTTACATTTCTACAACAAAGAGAGTGCAAACTCACATTTTCCCGTCGTCAGCAGATCTCTCATATAGGTCACAAGCTCATGCAAAAAAGTCCCAAAGCCAACAAGGTCTAGCTTTTTTATTGGAAATCCGACATACGAGCATTTATGGAAATCGAAAATGAAGCTTTCCCTGGTTAGATGAGAAAACTCGGGGTTTACACAGAAAAGCCATGTCGCGAAAATAAGAGCAAAGAAGAAGCTTTCAGTTCATAGAATTTATCATGAAATGACAACACAATAAAGTAAAATTAAGTTGACAGAGAAAATGGAGAAGTACGAGACGTTGGCTTGGCATGAACCAGTTGCACCAGAACACAATTTCATTGCATAACAAAGAAAACAAATGTTAACGGGAATGGCACGACCCAATAACTTCGGAATGATCTGTGTGACCTTGCTGTATATAATTGTTATTATAGCCATACAGTCACAGTGAGAGAATTCATGGCGGAAAATTGCTGCCAGAGAGTTCCTTACATTCTTTTTTAGTGTAAGATAAACTGTAGAATGCAAGCTATGACAAACCCTTTAAGAGAGTTCACGCCGAGTCGCATTACGTCTCTTTGACAGTAGCTGTATTCACGAGGTTATACAAACTTGCATTACAAGAAAAATCACATTTTTCCGCTTGAATTGCTAGGTAAAGTGTTTCTCGATGTCACCGCGGGGCAGACTGGTTAGCGCTAAGTTAAGTTTGCACACGTCTCTCACCTACCATGTCCCCTACCCATCGCCAAGTGCTGCTTTACCAGACAACGAGCTCGTTCACACTTTGCACCCGGCACGCTTATAATTACCATATAATATCTCATTGTGGTAATGGGTGTCACGTAATGTGAATATTGAGGAGGTTACTTTTTAATCTTAAATAGATACGCACCTGTGTCACCCTGGGACCCTGTTTTGATTGGGTTTTCCGATCTTTTAAACTCTTTTTAAAAAGCTTTTGAAGTCTTGTAGAACCTGACACAGGCACCTCTTCATAGCTTATCCACCTTGGTGAGCCAGTTATATGTAACTTTGATGTAAAGGAAATATGTTAATTTGAGAGAGAGAGTTAAGCCGCCGCACGCAACAATTCTTCACCCCGACCACCCCCCCCCCCCCCAAGCAAAAGGATGCGAATTCATTAGTTGGTTTAAGCGTGAATTCAAAGCACGCACTTACTTTGAAACGAGATAAGTCCGTATAACAGTCCGATCAAAGTGCCAAAAAACAAAGTTTCACTGAGTTTTGACCGTGTTAGAGGAGTTTCAAAAGTGATTTCTTTAAAAAAATGAAAGAAATAGAAAACGCGTTCTTATTAACAGGTATTTTATGAGCCACAATATGTTAGCTAAGATTAACTAGCAGATGTTAATTTTTCGAAATCGTAGAGAAAAATGAAAACAAAACAAGGGATAATTTCGTTGATGCTGCCTTTGTGCCGTCGTAGTGACGTTCATTCTAAACCCATTGTCCTGTTACAACATTCTATAAATCGTGAATTAGGTTTTGCATTTTCCATGTAGTAACGATGGCAAAGAAAGTAATTTGTTTTTCTAAAAGACTACTCGTTCATACTTAACAGCAAGAACTAACTGTGATGTGGTTTTTTAAATTTCTATTACATATAACACGCTTAGTCTCTTAGGAAAAAAGCATTGACCCTTATATTGTTCACGAGATGTGAGGTAATCTGGTTCACCGGTGTTGAATAAAAAAAAAGACGTTTGTATTATCCTCCGTTGGGTTATCAAGTTCACATCATTTAAATGTAGATACAACAATCCTTTACTGAGGGAGGACATATGAGCAATCAGTTTTTGTCTACAATTATTTGCTAATTCTGTAGACACCATATCCAGACCAGCTTTTCCTTAAGTGTACCTTAATAACGTAGTAGTAGCAGTTTTTGACAATATTTAACAAATATGTAACTATTCTGATATTTCTGCTTAAAAGAAGTGGATACTCCCCCATTTTAATGATAATCTATAGACTTAATCTGTTGTATCTTATTCTCTTAGCACCTACTTCCTTTTCCAAAAATCTGTGCGCGCCTTCTAACATTTGTTATGAGAAAAACGCTGTATTATTGATGTATAATTTAATATATTTCTAACATAAGTGTAAAAGACTGCACATTTAGTAGACAAATTAAAGTCGTCGCAAACTTTGCTTTGTTTTACATGTTTTTGAGCTCGTAGCACTTACTGGTAAAATTTAACAATAACCCATCATACAATATAACTGAAGTGATCAATATGCAGCTTATTTCATTCTTAACCCAAAGTTAGGCTACGAGGCATAAATTTGTTTGCGACGTAGGCGCAGAGATATCTGAAGATAATCGCCGCTAATTTACATGCCATTCATCTTTTATCCGTGGTCATGTTTTTGGTTGTCATCTTAATATTGGGACACTGTTATATCGGTCTATCATCATTTTAAGTCATATAGAAATATAGATATATATATTAAATTACTGGGGTAGATGTCTGTGTTTTATCACTGCACTGTATTAGAATCGTGATTATCACCGCTTTTCGTTTTAAAACGCTTTGTCCTCATTAAAGTCAATTGTGGAATGCATCGTGTAAATGAGAGACCGATTACAGGTCATTATGTCATCTTGCTATCATTTTTATGCCCTGGAAAACTGCTGTTCCATAAAGGACGATGTTCACTGATTATCTGAGATCTCTCACTCACGTGGAAATGTCACCCTCTCTCTCCTATCTTTGATCTGGTCGGAGCGTTCTCTGAAGACGTCAAAAACCAGTCAGGTAGCTTTCATTTTTTAACTTTACAGGGAGAAGACAGTCACCACCCCAGCAGACGGCTACCTGAGTTGAGCGTCGTGTTGAGGCTTTCTCTGAGTCGCGTTCCCAGGTGTAGCAGAACACAGGTGCTAAAAGTGAACAGCAGGTGAAAACATTGCCTGGTACTGCATCTGATAACATCGGCCCTTGGTGACGCCGCCATATTGAAGAGTGTGGTAGCCCACAGCAATACAGTCAAAGTAAGCAGACTTAGGCCTACTTAACAATTTAAAACTAACGGTACCCATTTTACGCTACCATGCGTAGCAAAG